AAAAAAATGATTATCAAAATATTTAAATTAAAATATAATTTTCTTTTTTTAAGTAGAATTAAAGAGAAAAAAATCTCTTCTATTTTTCTTCTGAATTGATTATATATTTATTATATTTTAAATAAACATTTTTCTTATATATTATGTCAAAATTACAACTTAATTTTTATGTATTTACGCGTCTAGTATCGCTGAAATCCGCATACCATTCAATTCTTTCCTTATTTAAATGTCTGACACTCAAACTTGCATCGCCTGCCATCTAGATACCTAGTTCTTATTTGTATTTGTGTACCCTGACCTGTTGGTTCGTATACAAGGTATAAGTCCCCTCAGGTTGAGGGTTTGAATCTCGTCTGATACAGTTGACCTTAAGGAGGTGGCACTCGAATTATTTGTCACGTCATAAGTGGTTGGATGCTCGTATAATCGGCTTCAGCCATTTCTTTTAATATACATATATATAATATGATAATAATGATAAAATGCTCCGGATTTAAATATTTTTAAATGACAAAGTTTGTCTTGACCGAAAATAGAGGCAGCTGATATTTTAAGTTTTTATCATTTGAGAAGAATCACGAGGTATGATGTGGATCTCGATGTAATTTTTTTATCAAGAAAAATTAAAACTTAAATTAAAAGTCATCCAGAACTCTTATTTTAATAAACTTATAGTCAAACGGACCTGCTCAACAAGACAGATCCAACGGTATCAAAATTAGTTTAATCCGAGTCAAATAAAGCGTAGATCAGGCTGGTAAACTGCTTTTGGAAGCTTTCTAGATATAATTAGAAAGTCAAATTGATTTTGAATCTAGCATGCTTATAGTTGAATTGAGCGTTTCGGCGAGATAAATCCAAGAAGTCTGAGATAAACTCAATTTTGACATCATTAATACACTAAAATGTCTATAAAACACCCTCTGATAAATTGGATATTTCTGGGTTGTCTGATCGGGAGTGGTTTAGATTCATTTATTATTTGCAACGTGAATTCTATAAATAGAGCTCTGAACCTCTCATGAGAAGAGGAGCTAGAACCTAGGCAAGATGAAGGCCTAAGCCTACAGTAGAGAGAGTTGCAGCTCAACCTCCCACACAAATGATCTAGCCAACTCAAACCACTACCACCTTTGGCCGCTATCGCCACTTCTTGCACTGTCGCCCATCATCAACCTCCTGCACCTGAAGATGTCAATCACTGTTGAACATCATTCCCTTTTCACTCTTGCAACCACCGGCCAACGCCGCCTACCAACACTGGCCACAGAACAACTCCAGTTGTCATCGTTGTCACCACCGGACGGCCCGCATCATTTAATATTTAATAGTTTTAATAAACAACATTATCACATTTGGGCTTCTCCATTTATCATTATTTATAAAGATATTAACATTAATCAATTTAAGTTAAAGTATTCCAATCAATGCAAGTCCCAATACAAATTAAATTTGGACATTCCAAAACGTATACCTCACCCAAAGAAAATTTTCCCTAAAATTAAGGGTTAATTACATATAGATAGAGGTGTGCATGCACCAATTCACTTAATGAACAACTTAAACAGCTTGATTAATAGTCCATCATACTTATTTAACTTAATAAATAAACAATGGAGTCTATCCTCATTTTAGGGCTGTCAAAACAGAAACAGTTCATTTGATTATAAATTGGGAACAACTCGTGTTTGACCCGTTAAGAAGCTTGTATTCGATTTGTTCGCTAAGTTAAAGAGCTGAACATGAACACTTTTTTTTTTTGTGCTTGATATATAACCGAGCCGAACACGAACAAGGATTTGTTCGTTCGTGTACGGCTCGTTTTGGCTCGAAATACTACTCATCATATAATATATATAATTGATGTGCATTATTTTTAAAAAATTTAATTTGCTACAAGGCTATAAAGATTTATAATCAATTATAATTATTAATTAAAAAAATAGAAAATGATGTTTTAATATAAACATTATGATTTAAATCTTGCTCCAACCCTTAACATCCTACAATTGCAGGATTTGAGTTGTCAAAACGACTATTTATTCGTGAACAACTCGTGCTCGGCTTGTCAAGCAAACGGTCTACGTGAACAACTCGTGCTCGGCTTGTCAAGCAAACGGCCTAAACACAAACACATTTTTTGTGTTCGAAATATAAACGAGTAGAACACTAACAACGATATTTTTTAACAAGCCAAACACGAGCTAGCCTAGGCTCAGCCCATGTCCAACTCCTTTACACCCCCAATTATAACCAAAAATCATTTAGTCATTTAATTAATGTCCCAAAAAATTTTTAATTAGCTTCCAATTCTTAGCCGATCTAAGCTCGTTTAAGGCACGAATCGAACTTTTCACATCATTAGATTTGGCTCGTGACGATCCGATTTTTTTTCGATGTGTGATTCAAGCCCACAATCTCACTATTAGGAAATAATATCCTCAACTATTTAATATTAAGAAAATGATGCAAAATTTTGAATAACAAGCATCATGTTCCGATAATGCAAGCAACTCAAGACATATCTAAACCATAATAAATACAATAAAGAAGTCAATAGCTGAAGATAAAATTTTCTAAGCATAAATAAGTTTACAAACAATCAAATATTGGAGTCCTCGTGCAAATTTAAAATTAAATTGCTTAAAAAAAATATTTGAATATAATTTTATTATAATTGAATACATTAAATTATTAAAATATAAACATATTTTCTTCAAAATAATTTTTATTTGGAAGATTTTATTTTTTACTGTATTTTACATTTAAAAAAGTAAAAAAAGGTGATATTTTTATGTGATTCTGGTGGTGAGGGGTGTAGACGAGCCGAGCAGCTCGTTTATATTTCGAGCTAAAAAAGTGTGTTCCTGTTCGTCTCGTTTGCTTAGCGACCCGAACACGAGCCGTTCATGAGCAAAGAGTCGTTCTGAAAACATTAGTCACGTAGCCATAAGATGTTAAGGATTGGGGCAAGATTTAAAACATCATATGAATTTATTTTAATAATTTTTATTCTATATTCTTAATTAATACTTTTAATTGATTATAAATGTTTGTAGCCTTGTAGTCAATTAGATTTTTTTTAAATACTACTTTATATGTATATAT